TATTTATAAGGACAACGGGATAAATCAAATACGTATTATGTTTTCAACATCCATTTTATAAAATTTGAATTGAATCGACAGAATGCATTGTATTTTTAACAGTAAAAAAAAGTATAAGTGGCCAGTACGTGCAATAATAAAAAGAGTTCATTCTCACATATTAAATTGAATCTGCAACAGAAGGGGTTATTTGAATCCATACGGCAATTTAAATTAGATTAACTATTAATGCATTCAAAATAACAATATAGCGTCTATTGAACGGGATTACAAATACCCGTTGACGCGTAACGTTGTGTAAACTACGGACGTTATTTCCTATTAAAAAAAATAGATGAATGCAATTATAAAATGCATATCCGTTTATAGTTATTAAGGTCAAAGGGCTTAGAATGTACTCATATTGTGAAATTGTTTATTGAATTATTATCGTTGTTTCGCGAGTGATGAGTATTGAGTCATCATCGTCATCATATTAATTGTCCAGTTAACTGTCCAGTGTTGAATATAGGCCTCCCTATTGGGGGGTTTTACCAATAGTTCCCACGCTAGGCAGGTGAGTTGGTAGTCGCAGTTGGCCTTTGGTTATGTTTTAAGAGGGAAGATGCTGTTTATCTCTCGATCATTAAGCTCTTTAGTCGCCTGCTATGGCATTCAGCGGTTGGGAAGGAAAGATGACCCATATAGTCACAGCATAGTCACTTATAAAAGATCAATATGGGATCAATAGCCAATGGTTATTTCAATATATTGAAATATTTAAAACTATTAATAAAAAATCCAGACCGTTTGAGAAAATCTTATTATTTTAGAAGTCACTATTTATTACAAGTCAATATCTATCACGCCTGTCTCCCATTAGGGTAGGCAGAAACAATAGAACGCTAAATGCGTCGATTCAATTAGACATCCTTCGCTTCCTCCACATTCATCAATCTTTTCATACACGCTCGCCGGTTACGGGTACTTTTAATTTAGCTCTTCTTCAGCACGTCGCCTATTCAGTCGACATATGTGCGTCTAGGGCGGCCCCTACCGACTTCTCCATTAATTTTTAATATTCACATTTCCTTTATTAACTGTATATTATAAAACTCCTTAACATTTTCTGCACGTTACACCTATTTTATAATGCAAATATAGCAATACCTATAGTCAGTTTCAGTTATATAACCTATAGAAGTTAATTGAAATATAAACAAAACAATAATAAAATTTGGCCATAAAACAGACAGCTGATGTCCAATAATACGAGAAATACGAATAAAAAATTGTTTAAACGCTTGAATACTTCTGTTTGTTACTAATTCCATTTAAAGAGTGTTACTGTGACAATTCCCATATAATTTGATTACTTTTACATTAAGGTATATTGAAATAGATTATACGAATGCGTTAATACCCACCAATGCATGGGGGGTATCATGGGCGAAATAGTCTACTCAGTTAAGTCCATGGTACTACTCATGTCTATAGGCAACAGTTACCACTTTCCATCAGGTGGGCCGTCAGCTTGTTTGCTATTTTAAGTAGTATAAAAAAAAAGTCGCAAGTTTTCAAAATGTAGGATTTTACATCATATTATTCAGTTGCATTATATTTTAAACCCGTAAAAATTTTCATCTCTACATCCTGGGGATGAAAAGGAAAGTGGACTTAATTTATTCAAGACAAAGCATGTTACTGTTTAAATTTACCGACTAGATGAAAAAAGATTATTAATAATCTAATACCTTCATTGTAATAGCAATGTAACCTAACGGATCGACCTCCACGCGGTTCCGCCTGTAAACCTTCGTGTTCTTCATTCTTGTTGATTTCGTCACGACGGGCCAACTGACCTACTTTTATCCTCACCTATCATCCCTCACTGATACCCTACCAGCTTATACCGATAGCTCAGGCGGGGTTACCATTCCATTGTAACCCATAAAATAAATTACAGCCTTACTAATTAAAAAATAAGGTTCAGATTCTTCACACGTAGCGTGAAAAAGAACTTCGTGAACCGGCATAGTGCAGTTATCCGTTGAGAGTGAAGCATTCTCCTTTTGGTTGGCCGTATTCATGGACCATGTCGTCTCTGTGTTCACTCTAGACAGAGTGGTCACAAATCGTGGTATAATAAAAAAAAATATTGCTCATTATCATTTGATAGGTAGATAATTTATTGCATTACTTACAGCACACAAATAACAACAGACATAAATAGACATACATAGTGAGAAAAGATTTTTTTAATGCAACTTAGAATGGCAAACAAACTGACAGTCCACCTGATGGAAAGTGGTAACCGTCGCCTATGATACCCTTCATGTGTTGCCATAGTGAAAAAATATAAAACAATACATATACAAAAATTAAAAAATGCATAAAAGAAATAACATTTTTCCCTTTTATACATGTGTTTACACAGTAACACAAAATGGTCACAACTCAGCTTATTGCTTTGCCTTCAAAAAAAGCAAAACACTGATATTCTGTTATGGCCAAAAGCTAGTTGCGAAATCCCTTAGAAAAAATAAATAAAAAAGATAAAAAAACATTGTGTATGATTCAATCATTATGATCTAACAGGATGATTTAACAGAGGGACAGAAGAGACTGGGCGTCATGGTATACTTTAGAATGTCCATAGTCCTGTTAATATTTATGTATTTACTCGTTTGCTCGTTTACTTATTTACTTACTTATTTATTTATTTATACTTTTGCACACATTAAAATATATCTACACGGCGGGCTTTTTTTTTTTTTATACCACTGAGGTGGCAAACAAGCATACGGCCCACCTGATGGTAAACCTCTTTACCCCCCTTTTGAAGAACCCCATGCTGTAGTCTCTCGGGAAAACCTCGGCAGGGAGCTCATTCCATAACCTGAGTGTTCGTGGGAAAAAGCATCTCTGAAACCGCGTTGTACGCGACCATTTAGGCTGTAAGGTATGAGGGTGAACTCCCTGCCGATGGCGAGCCGTACGATGATAGAAAGTGGCCGTAGGCATCATATTGAATAATTCCTCTGAGCACAATCCGTTGTATAAGCGGTAGAACACGCAGAGTGAGGCAAAATCTCTCCTAATACTTAAGGGTTCGATACCGCTTGCAAGCATGGGATCATCGACAATTCTCATAGCTCGTTGCGGTAAACAGAGAGAGAGGCGGTGCATAGATATGTATATATGAAAAAAAATTGTAAATTAAATAAATATATAGAAAGATAACAACAATTCATGATATATAAACATACAAACATATAGAATAATATACTTACAAAAAATATACATACATAAATCACATACGATACTAATAATAAATAATTATACATTGTATACATATTAAATTAATAAATATATAAATCGTAACTAATTAATTAATATTAGTAATTATAATAAAATTAATGAATATTATATATTAATTTTAATTAATTATATTAAATTAATTAAATAAAATATAATATGTACAGACGATGGTTACCACAATCCATCATGAGAACTGTTCCCTTGTTTGCTACTATGAATTGCATAAGAAAGTCAATACCATCATAGATAATATAACACTATGGTACTGTACTCATATAATATAAATATTTTAAGATTGTGTTACACAAAAAAAAAAAAAACTTTAGTTATCTCAAAACCAGGCACTTTGATTTAAAAACTAAACTACGAAATCGATTTTGATAAAATATCTTTAGGACCAATCGGTAAGTATACCGTTTTAGATAAAAAAAAAATTAACTAAACCGGTTTACACTTGATGGTGTTATGAGGTAATAAATATAAAAAAATACAATCCAATTGAGAACCTCTTTTGTGAAGTTGGTTAACTGCTAGTACTATATGCAAGCCCTTACATTATCTATTTAATAAAACTATTTGGAAGTCAGCACGTGTAGTGCCATAAAGGGTGGTTGTAAAGAAATATTGAAGAAATTCATTTCAAAATATAGAGATTGCTTGCCTGTTATATTCTTCATAGTATTATTTTAACTATGGTGAAGGTTGAACAGTTAGATTTGGGAGCTGTATTTTAATATCTTATATTGCAAGGGTTGGCAACGCACTAAAAATGACAGTATGTACACTTAGTATTAATTATCATTCTAGTTAAATATTTTGTATAAAAATAAAAAAAAAATTCAAATATCCCTACTAAAAGCAATTTACGGTAGTACCCTGCACTTTGGTTATGTTTTATTAAGAGAGGGACTGGCTGAAAAACAGCGCTGTGCAGCTGTTAAAATCATTGTATGATATTATTCAGGGTAAATATGCTAAAGTTCCAGTGCGTACACAAATGAGGACACTCGTTCACCCATAAATAGAATTTTGAAAATATATAAACAAATTTTATAATATTGATATAGCTTTCAAAAAAATGGTGCAGCTGCACATAATTAATAAATTATTTAGTTAAATAACTTTTTTTTTTGTTGGTTCATAATTTGTACCGGTCCAAGTTTTGCATAATTTGTACCGGTGACATGGGACACTCAATAATTGCATGTTTATATACTTTCTTTCTTTATATAGCAATCAGCTGAGCCGTAATCTTATTATAATTATATATTGTATTCCTTTAATAAAAAAAAAAAAAAAAAAAAAAAAAAAAAAATAAAAAAATAAAAAAATACAATTTGCCAAGTATGGGACACTTTTTGTATATGTTATTTATATTTTATATTGTAATTGTATGTTTACTGACAACAAATGTCTCTATTCTATTCTAAAAAATTTTTTTTGGTATATTGTTTTTTTGGTATATATATATATGTATGTATAATCTCAGCCATGCGTTCCACATATGTATATAGAACGATTGGCAATCGGTAACTTTGAATGTTTATATGTAAGGGGGTTAGTGATGAAATAATTAACAAGTTAATATTGCAATAAATATACGACCGGTCCAACAAGGCCAAAGTCCCCCCCTAATCCTAAAGAACCCAACAGTCTGACATGTGTCGCTTCTGTATCCATTAGTACTCTATGATCCGAACAGACTAGTGGTCGTATATAATTAAATTATTATGTTGATGAATCTTTAGTTGGTAATGAACCTTCTTATACAAGGTTTTCAGACCTGACAATCCTTTGTAACAAATAAATTTAAAAAAATTCAAAAGTTTCAATTATTCGTAAGAGATGATGGAACTTCGTTGAAGTGTAAATGTATATGAAATTGTGTGCTCTACTAATTTCGTTTACACTAAATTAGTATTGAGATTAACAGTGATAGTTTATCGTGATTACAAATAAATGTTAGGTAAGTAAATTTAATGTTAAATTTATTTATTTTTTTATTAAATATTTTAGTATAATAATTTTAATAAAATTATGACACTTATTCATAAAACAAATAAATTAAAACATTACCTTAAATATGTTTTAAAAATAAAAGTTATTTTTTATTTATTAAATATTTCATTATAATATTTATTAATTTTATAAATTATTATTATAATATTATAAAATTATTATTCATAAAATAAATAAATTTAAACAATAATAAATATAGGTATAATATGTGTTTTTAAAATAGAAATATTTTCTTTTATTTTTAAACAAAATTATTTTAAAAAAAGTATAATTAAAATATTTATAAGAAATTATGAAAAAACTAAAATGATTACAGAAAAAAATAGAACCAACGATTTCCTGCAGATGGTTTACTCGTTATAGTTTTTTTTTTTTTTTTTATACTACTTAGAATAGCAAACGGCCCACCTGATGGAAAGTGGTAACCGTCGCCTATAGACATGAACAGAACCATGGACATAACAGAGTATACTGCTTCACCCATGATATTCCCCATGCGTTGCCATTCCTGAGGACTCAGGTGCTATTCCTCTGTACCCAGTAAATTCACGCCATATCCCACCCTTCAAACCGAAACACAGCCATGCAAACACAACTGCTTTACGGTTGAAACACAAATGGGACAGAGGTACCCAAGCAATCGACTTTTGTACAAAGTCTCCCTCTGGTAAATAAATAAATATTATTAATTTACATCAGCATGATATATGTATATTAATTTTTAAAGAACACTAATAATACATTTTAAAAAGATAATGTTTTGAATTAATTAATAATCTTAATATCCATCTAATCTTAATATTGGTGGATTCGAACTCGTGACCATCGAAAAGCGAAGTGATTTCAACATTCTTAAGTTCTAAAAAGCATAATCTGTAATAATTACATAATCCTTAATAAATAACCTGTCCAGAACTTAATTATAATATTACACAAAGACAATATTGCTATGACTAACGTAAACACCTGTTAATGTAATATAAAATGCCTTATTATAAACAATTATAATAATTATAATTCCTTTGTAAATACCTAATCAATATCTTCATTATAATAAACTTGTTAATTTTTAATTAACTTTGTTATAAGACTGTCCAGAAAGTGAACAATTACTTTTTGAATAATCCATATGTGGGCGACAAAGAAAACTACGAATGGAAATTGGAAATATATGTATATTGAGAAAAAAAAAAACTTAGAAGACTAGAGCCGTGAAGGGATTTCGAAAGGAAACAATAGAGATGCGTGTCAATTTCGAATTTGGTAATAATATAATATAATGTAATAATAATATAAAAACTATAAATAATAGATATACATAGGCTGTACTCCACACCATATATTTCTTCCTAAATCACTTTTTTGATTGATTAATTAATCGATACTAATCACTTTAATGTAGAATATTGAAATAACCGATTGGTAAGAAAGGTTCTTGAGTGGCGACCCCGTACAGGCAAAAGAAGTGTAGGACGACCCGCCACTAGTTGGAGTGACGACCTGAAATGCATTGCAGGGAATCAGTGGATGCACGTAGCTCAGGAACGTTCGTTGTAGCAGTCTATGGGGGAGCCTAATATAAAATCACTTTGCTATTCCAAATTGCATAATAAAATATTTTCCATTATAAACAGATAAGACAACAGTTCCTATATATTACTATGTACTACATCTTCCTTAGATATACTTATCTTCTTTCTTAAAAAAAAAAAGGGTTCTTCAAAAGGGGGGTAAAGAGGTTTCTTCAGGGTCGGCAACGCGCGCGTAATACCTCTGGTATTGCAGGCGTTCATAGGCTACGGTAACCGCTTTCCATCAAGCCGTATGCTTGTTTGCCACCACCGTGGTATAAAAAAAAACTTAATTGCAAATTAATACAAAAAAGAAACCAATTAATATTTCCCATCAGGTTTTTCAACTTTTTCTTGTTTAATATAATGTTTATTGCGTTCTGATACTGGCTTTGTTGTAAACAATTGCCTACCGACGGGAAGATTACCATCTGTGACGTAAAGATGCACAAGCGGCCTCATTGTTCAACCTTAATATGGCAATTACATGATTACAACCACAAAGTAATTATTCAACTACGCGTAAATATATTGCAATAAAATTTCGAAAATTTCAAATTAATAAATTGTGGCTGAAATGATGAAAATCAAGGGCACAGACGAATATTGCAAACTATTTTAAAACAATTTCATAATTGGTAATAAATATTGTATTTTTTATGTATATTGACTAATCTATCATCTTTATGGACATATATTTATAGATATATAATGTATGTATAGACATATTTATATGTGTATGTATATATACATACATTAAATAAAATTTCTTTCATATTTAATGATACATAAAAAATATTTTATCTGTATATCTGTTTATCATCATAGCCTTTAACTGTTCACTGCTGAACATAAGCCTCTCCCTTAGTGGGTTTTGCCAATAGTTGCCACACTTGGTAGGCGGGTTGGCAACCGCAGTTAGGCTTTGGAGATGTTTTAAGAGGAACGCTGCTGCCCATCTCTCGCTCTTCCTTAGGCACAAAATTGACAACTTACTAGTTACAGGAGGTTACTAAAGCGACACTTTGACAATCTCCGTGGCTCAGTTGTAGACGTGTTGCGTAAATAAGGGACCGGATTCGATTCCCGATCGCGCTAATTTAGTACATTAAATTTTTTACTCCCTTTGATTGGTTGTTCCCTTCAAGCATTCGTTGACTGGTTCCTCATCACAGGGTATCTTAGCTCAAGGATCTGATAATTTGTGTAAATCTATTAAAAATAAATCTACCTTTAAATATAAACTATGAGTTCACTTCCTAAAAAAGACTTGTAACACATTTTTTTTAAATAACAAACTTTTTTCTTTATTCCTTTTTCTGCCATATTTTCTGTTATCTGCTGTTCTAATTCATCAGTATAAGAATTATAGTTGTATATTATATTTATATGTATTTGTGTAGGTAAATATATATCAATTTATGTATATTTATGGATGTATGTATGTAACATGCAGTAACAATATTGATTCATATTTTACTTGTATAATTGTGCATTGAAGATTAAATAAATATATAAATTACGTAGCACTTATTACAAATAAAATCATTGATGATTTAAAAAAAATCCTTGACAGCATCATTCAAGTTCAGTGCAATCATTATTACAGCAGTAAATCCCCAAGAATACAACGTGACATCATTAGATAATCATGCGGGTCATGTCTCGCTCGCAGTCATTAGATGCCATTATAATTTAATGATTGTTTACTACATTCATTTATATTAAAGAAATGTAACTTAGAAATGCGAACACTCTTTTGAAGCCAAAATGAAAATAACCAAATGTTAAATAAACCCAACGGTCACAAATTAACCTCTACTTTTTATTTACTTTAAATATTTTAATTAATACTTTTATCTAATTCTTTTTTTTATATATTATAATTATATTCTGTAGTCTGTCTGTTAGTAAAAGACACCCGATAGAATAATAAAAAAAATCAAAGTTACGTTTTTCTATAGATAGTATATTATTGGGTATAACTTAATTAAAAATCGTTATGTTAATGTAATAAATAAAAATATATGAAAACAAGGAAATAAATAGATAAAATCTAAATACTTAAAATGTATATACGTATAAATAAACAAACGGATCAACTTTATGTCAGCTAATTGTCAAATTTGCTGGGTCACTTTTTTTTAATAGTGTTCTATATACTTACTCATACAATGTATCTTAACGTATTATTTAATAAATAAAAAGAGTATTTACGCATTAAAAAGATGCAGAAATTAAAAGACAAAATAAATATAGAAGTTATAAAGGAATCACTAATAACTATTCGTCACGCGAAATTGTATGAAAAAGTTGACCTATTTTTCTCTAAGCATTTCTATGGAGACTATCTATGTAGTCTAAGTGTGACTCATAGCTCACAGATTTGTCCTCATGAATTACGGTAAGTGTGCCGTGTGAATAGTCTATTTTATGTATCAAGTTCCATTCAAATTCGTTCAGCCGTTTAAGCACGATGAAGTAGCGAAATCGTTTAAATGTCATTACTAATTGAACACGGTCCAAGCGGAATGCTGTAAACGTTTCGAGCATTTTTATAAACTTTCACATTTCTAATATTAAGATGAGATATTTTGCAAGCGTTTGCAAAATTTCTCCTATTACTCCGTACGGGATAACAGATGTGAATTAAATTTTTAACTGACTTAATAAATATTTATTTATTTAACACTTTACTGCACCAATATTACAGAACTTTGATGGATTTTCAATAAACATAGTGTAGTACAAAAAGCGGTCTCATTTAATTTAAACTTTAACGCACAGAGAAACTAAACTACCTAACTATGGCGGACTTAACACCGGACGGTGTTCTATATCAATCAACTATTGGGCCAGAGGGAGACTTTGTACAAAAGTCGATTGCTTGGGTACCTCTGTCCCATTCGTGTTTCAACCGTAAAGTAGTTGTGTTTGCATGGCTGTGTTTCGGTTTCGAAGGGTGGGATATGGCGTGAATTTACTAGGTATGGAGGAATAACACCTAAGTCCTCAGGAATGGCAACGTATGGGGGGTATCATGGGCGAAACAGTATACTCTGTTATGTCCATGGTACTGCTCATGTCTATAGGCGACAGTTACCACTTTCCATCAAGTGGGCCGTTAGCTTGTTTGCCATTCTAAGTTGTATAAAAAAAAATAATATTGGGCAAACCGAGAAATGAGTGGGCGGTGACAATCATCATCAGCTACTGATGACTTTGCCAATAGTTTCCATACTTGGCAGGCATAATGATGGAAATTTCCATCATAACATCGAATGACCAAAAATTATCTAAAAAGACAAGTTCACTTTAAGTCAATCGTGTTTGGATACCTTTTTAATGTCCATTCCAGAAAAAAACATAACTGTTA